CCCATCCTTAGAGGAGGTAGCCGTTGTCGACGGATAATGTTTGGTAAGGCACCCGGTGAAGACGGAATTCCAGTCGAAATGTACGAGAAATGTCACAATCACCCCAACCCCCGTACCCCGGTAATCGCCAAACCACTTGTAACCCTATTTTGGAGACAGAAAAATGACCACTTCGGTTTTACTTCCAGTCCCCAAGAAGAGTGGGAAAACAATCCATCGGGAAAGCAGCCTGTTGGACGTAGTTGAAAAAGCTTTCACCAAAACGAGACATGCAAGCACTGGGACTAATCGAGGAGGACGCCGTTGCCGTATAGGATGCGATCAGCAAGTTTCCATACTGCAGAGAACTCTGGAATATCGCCATGGGTTTCAGCGCCCCACCGCTACATGCTTCATCGATCTTTGCACGGCATTCACCTCAATACACCGCAATTCATCGTGCAAGATAACACTTGCGGATGGTGTCCAAGTAAAGCTGGTTAATCTGAAGATTCTATCAGTACAGATTCCCATCCTTTCAAATGGAGTTCGGGAGTACGACGAGAATGTTCGCCATCCCCAGGATTATTTAACTTCGTAGTCACGTCGGTCGTAAATCAGGAGATGGAAGACTATCAAGGAGTCTAAGTTTCCACAGATTGTTGGATCAACGACCCTGAATTCACCCATGAATTAGCGGTGTTCGGGGAGGATACGGTCACGTCGCATATGGCTTTTAAGCGCACCCATGGGGAATTGGCCTGGTGATCAATAATGCAAAAACCAAAATGTTCGTCACGCACCCTGGTCAGACGGGACGAGCCCAAAAGCTGAATAGTCAAACAGTATAAATTGTTTCTAACTTCAGGTACCTCCGATCCAACATGTGCCTAATGAACAAGCCCAGGATGATGTCAAGCGGTGCATAGACACGGCTGAAACAACGTTTCTATAGCTCAAAAATATTCTGCGGCACAGAAACGAGATTAGATTCAAAACCAAGTTCAGGGTGCTTTCCACAGAATTCTATTCAGTCCTATCGTATCACTGTGGAACATGGCCATTGAGAGCTGAGGTTTAGGGATATCTGATCAGTGGTACCCTAGATATATTATAAGAGTAAAATGGCGCGACAGAGTCTCGAACAAGTGCATTAGAAACCGCTGGCGTATCGCCCGAGTGTTAACACGCATTCAGCCAAATACATTGGTTTAGACACGTTCCCCGCAAACCTGACTACGGTTTAACAAACACTGTTCTGTCATCATCTTGTCCGGGCTGGCGCCTCTGACCATGAGACGGATAAGAACCTGAGTGAACACGTTCTGTATTCGAAGACGTAAACCAACTTGGTCTATGGACATTCATCGTTGGAAAAACAACGGGGTCAACATCTGCAAGGGCCTTCTAATCATGAGTAGCCGCGATCAGAAACATCTATGTCTTCTTCTCAAAAAAAAACCAGCCGCTGCAAATTATAGTAAATAAATAGCATCTGGCTGTGTTAGCACCAGAGGCGAAACCTCGAAAATGAAGGCCAAAAGATCCCATTTCGTACAATATTACCAAGATTGACTATGAATTCACTCATGAAGTGAATTAGGAGCGGGTCAGCTAAAGACACAAAAAAGAACACGGTGTGAGTGGATCACACACACACACACACAAACTGGTCAATACCGGAAACACGTCACAGATCCCTTACGTGTGTTGGTCCACACAAAATCGATCAATGCATCGAAATCGAATTCCGAATCGGCATATTCACGTAGCACACGACCATCGACCATCAGTTTCAATTTAGGCACGTACAGTGTGCGCAAACTCCACCGATGTGTCATATAGTCTTCGATCCGTACCGCATACACCCGGAACTGGGGATAAGCTCGAGCTAAAGCCCGAACATGCGGGAAAAAATCGTACGAGAAACGGCAATCTAGGGAGTAGAGAAAGAGCAAATAACAGTCGTGTGTTGTGGTTTTCGTCAACCGGACCGATTGTCCAGGGATTGACTGACTAATGGAAGCTGGTTGTCTGCTCCGTGGCGCAGCTTGTAAGAGTCGCTCCACTCCAAACGCGGATGGGATGATCAAATAGCCCTCGGTGAAGTTAGCCCATGTGACCTCGCGAAGCTGACAGTGTGATAGATGGTTATTGATATCGTGAGACACAGTCGGGAGTATTGTTTCTTTGGAAGACCAGTACGAAGAGTTTGATCCATTCAAATCTATCGGGTGTACAGAGCGAGAAGAAAGGATAATGCACTGTGTTCTGCGGTGGAAATTTGTCCGTTTGGATTGGTAGCAAGGGGAAAAAAGAGTGAACCCTTTTACACTATTCAGACGAGTTGTACTAAAGTATCGTTATTGAAAATTATCAAACAATTTTGGTACAAATGAGGTAGAAACGAGATTGTAATAAGCTGCCTCAACATGAATTACATTAACCCGCGAACTGGTATTCAAACATATGGTTTGAAAACCGTCGAGTCAAAAACGGATTGGATTGCTGGTATTCGAGCAGTTTAAATTGTCTTAAATAACATGCTATGGTCTGCGAGGTCTGAGATTTGAAACCTAACATGGTATTGGAACTTCGTTGGTAAAAGATTTCACTTTTAATGGGCTTAATATTTTTTTACTACACCTAATTGTAATGAACCGCAAACGGGGCGAACCCCATAGTCACGAGGACCTGCTGTTCAGTGGTGGAAACCAGCAACCTTATCCCCGGGACTTGGAGTGGCGAACCACATAAGGCTCCGATAGGTTAGGCGTGGTATTGAACCGGACGACAGCAAAGCTACCTACCACCAAATCGAGAGGCGGTGGCGAGGCACGAACCTCGGACCATAGGGTCCAAAGCACACCGGTGATAGCGACTAAACCACTGCGCCACCAACATCATCTATCATACTGAACCTTCTCGCAATTCCAGTCCCGAGGCTTGGTTTAGTACTTCAGACTCTTATCGGGAACGTTCTATGCGAGCGTTCCGCGATGATAATTTTCAGTGCCGCCCTTTCAGTTATCTCGAGCGTTTCTGTCGAAGACGATGAGAAAACACCCGTAACTTCGAGTAAAACACACGAATGCATCGTTTTTCACATTACTGCTCTTTGTTATTTGTTTCTATTCGTTCCCGCCTTTATATAAATTTAAGCATTTTTTTATTACAACAAAAATCAACCGTACAACTATCCGATTCAACCTGGCGTGCCTAGATGCTATGCGGTATTAACGAACAAACAAAGTAGAACGGTGAACGAATCCAGACACAATGAGGTAACCCATGTTTATTGAGGCCTATCCGCTTCTAATCAGTGCATGATGATGATCAGCAGCAGCAAAAAGTGGTGAAGCGCACTTCACTGATCGCTACCAAACTCGCAATGCATACAAGATTAGTGGTATAATTTAAGGTGGATAGGGATTGGACATAGTTTGGGGGAGTGTGAACACGGTGTTACTCTATAGTAAACACAGAGTGCACATTCGAACTCTGCATGCATACCGTTTCAATCATTCTGCTCTGATAAAACATGACAATAAGAACGCCGCTGCTATCGGTAGCGATCAGTGAAGTGCGCTTTACCACATTTTGCTGCTGCTGCTGCTGATCATCATCATCATGGATTGATTAGAAGCCGATAGGCCTCAATAAACGTGGGTTACTTCATTGTGTCTGTATTCATTCACCGTTCTACTTTGTTTGTTCGTTAATACCGCATAGCATCTAAGCACGCCAGGTTTAACATTGCTGGCAGGGTATTCGATTCCCCTGGTTCCAAGAGAACCCTGACTTGCTACAAACTTATCAAGTCTAAGCTAGAAAGAGTGCGTTGTGGTTGCGGAAACGACGTCCTCCATGCACATATGGTTCGCACAGAGTAGCGTAACCATCTGCTGTTTGTCCGGCACTGTTGGTGTTGGCCAGCCGTCGAGTGACCCCGTAAATGCTGGTTCGACGATGCGGTTAATAGCTCCTTGTTGTGCTGACCTGATACGGTTGCAATTCTGTGTATTATTATGCTAGCTGGTTTGGCCCTGATAGACTTTCAAACACACGACGGCTTACCTCCAGATTACTAACCCGTTTGCTTCATCCCACGTGGGATAAACTACGTAAACACCGATAATCGAAAACTTCTAGTAGATAGGATATCTATCTTCTACTCGCAAATTCAAGGTTTTACAACTATTAAGCGGAACTGCACGAATGGTAGCACAATATACACGACATTTCAACCTTTCGTCCGCGTTCATTTAGTCTAACAACTATTGTTTTATGTTTTCAAGGGGTAATCGATTATCCGAGCAGAATGTCTCTCGACCCACAGTAACTGTGGAAACAATACTAGGAAATCGGTTGCATTTTCACGCTCTTTTTGAACCTGATGAGATAACATGTGATGGCAGTAAAACATTGCAATAGAGTGGATTCGGTTGTTCCATGTGCGAAATTTCCCACTGAAAAATGAATTCACTAGAGTAAAATCAAAACAATTGAAATCTGCACAATAAGACCTCGAGGTTCTTGTTGACCGTTGCAAATCAGGTACTACTTCAATGAAAAATCAAAGTCCTTGCCAGATGAAACTATGACACCTTTGGAGTCATTGAAGGACGGATTATCTCGATCAGTTCTGTCAAAGATCGAACCAGTCATCCCCGGTGGGCGAAAAGGACTCTTCGAACTCTGTGATTGGACCAGTGTTAACATAGAACAGTACGGCTGCTTTCTTTTCTAGAATGTTGATGGCTAGCGGGTAGCATCATTCATTGGTAGAAAAATAGGCGCATTCCATCGTAAAAACTAGCCGAAAGTGGCCGCATTAGATGCTTAGTGTATGTTTGCAAATTACCACAAACCACTTACGTTTTTTTTTATGGCAAGCCTTGAAGGAGGACAAACAGAAGCATCAAACAGGAAGTTGGTGCATCAAACTATCCTGTTACAGCTTCAAAGTAGCCTAGTGTCGCGCGAAGGACAACAAGGTTGCTCATACAACTTGAGGGTACTGCACTTCCGCAAGAAACAAACAGCTAAAGGATTAACGGTTTGTTTGATCACCTGGAACAGTACGTCAGATGCATTTGTACGATCCAGGAATTTTCTTTCCAATTGAGGACGTCAACAAAACATCTAGCAGACCTCTATTCTGCCCAACCTAAGAAACAAAATAATGTAAACAGTGAAATGCGAATACAGCCAAAGCTACATTTCATCTCAAACGTTTGAAAGTCAATTTCAAACGATTAGCTGTTTTCTACTATCGATCAGTATTCTGGATTCCAATTCGCTTATTTGTGCCATGGTCTGATTGGCGTCACAATCCTTGACTAATTTTGCGGTTACCAAAGACTCTGCGTCTAATCTCAGCATGGTTCGTTCGGTTGATCCACTGGAATGATGCAATGCTGCGTAGACACCGGTGTTTGAACACCGACAGCCTACTTTTATCCTGTTTTCCTAATGGCCAAGTTCATGCCCCGTACGACAGAACTGGCCAAACTGCCGTAGCATAAACTCGACCCTTCACGGACAGCCAGACGCCGCGGCGGTGCTACAGATGCCTCCGGTTGGTAAATGCCAATCGAGCCTTCTGACCTGCCAGATGCACCAAATTTCGTTCATCCCCTGTTAAAAATATCATACTTTGACTAAAGATGTTCACTTCAGCAGTTTCTTTACCGAGTCGGTTTACCGTTCCTTTGTCAGCCTTAGAGTGAGAGCAAGTTTGAGACTGTCGTCGAAAAAGTCTAACTAATTATTCGAATACAACCTAAAGTGTGCTCATGTGCGTCTATCATGTGGATATCCCAACCTTTGTTTAACTCTTTGTCTTCTGTTCCCAACCCTCTCCCTTTACCCCTACCGACCTGCAATAGTCCCTCAATCAACTTGGATGTCACTCGCCAAAGGTCATTGCCAAGTGGCACTTTAAGTGATTTACCACGGAATGGATCGCAGATTCTAAAGCCTTGTCAATCACTGAATCTGGGGGTCTTCAACTTGGTGACTTTGATGCAGCTGGGTCAACAAGCTTGTCTGGCTCGCACAAATGAAATCCCTAGGAATCGATATTTGTTGTGTGTCGGAAACTCGGATCCAGGATCCTACCACTCTAAGGCACTTGAGCACGCCAGATTTGTCGACGAGATACGTTCTTCGCACATCAGACGACGATGAAGCTCGTTCAGTAGGTCAGCGCGTGGTAAGGATTGTACTAATAGGGCGGAGTCCTCTCTTATCGATTGTATCCCCGTCAACAGTCGTTTATGTGCAGTGCGTCTCCAGGGTTCAATCAGCGTCCGGAAGGGAAGCAACACTAAAAGGTGTTTGTCTATCGTATCAGCATATGCACTGACCAATTGCAGTTCTGATATCCAAAAAGACTCCTTCTACGATGAACTCACCGACCTCATTCGGATGAGTCGAAGCTCCGACAT